AATTTATTTACATGTTTTATTTTTCCGTTCATCATTTACATATTTACTCGATTATTCTTTTGATATGCTTGTAATTCTTTCTTTCAATATATGTATCAAAATGTTAGAAATGTTTAATTATTACCTCTTCCCCTACATGCAGTTTAGCTCTTCCATTTCCAAGAAAATGGGCCTATTTGGGCACGACAATATGGCTTTTGGGTTTTTTAGGTGCTTGAGGTATACTAATTCAATCAACATCTGTTGTTGAAATTTGTTTATTGCAGTTTCTGATATAGGAATGTCTAATATGGGTGCTTCGATCTCAGAGTGGACGGTTTGGCTTTCGTTTTTGTCTGCTGGGTGTTCTTCAACGACTGTTTCAACATCTTCTAGTTGAAGTTCTTCTGGAATATTGTTAAACAGAGATTCGTCAAAGTCATTTTCAAGATTATCATCTATCATATTTTCGTCAAAGTTTCCTTGAAGAGCATCGTTTAATATGGTAGTCGTTTTCTAGTACTTGCTTTTCATCATTTGTGGTTTGGTTACGGTTCTTCTATCATCTATGACATCCATTGCAGTGATTGATGTATCATACTAATAACAATGGAAAACTATGAATCGCTACGGGATGAACAACTCAAGGACGAAGAGTTGGTGGCAATAATTAATGACCTTGAAACCAACAATGAAGAGACTGTGAGTCGCTGGTTGGGTCGCGGTTATATGTTGTCCAAAGGTATTTTGTATAAATATTCCCCGGACGTTGATAGCGAAGAGCCACAGCTTGTAGTCCCGAAGCAGCAGGTACCAGACGTTATGACCGAATTTCATAATTCACCGATTGCAGGTCATCCAGGTGTCGAGCGAACTATTGAAAAGGTAAATCCCAGGTATTACTGGTCAACATTGCGACGTGATGTGAGGCGACACGTCCAAAATTGCACAGAATGACAAAAATATAAATGCAGCAATTTAAAACCTGCTGGACTTCTGCAAACGCCCGTTATGGCACAGCGATTTGAAATACTAGCTATGGATCTTTTCGGCCCTCTTCCAGTGACCCCTGCTCAGGAAAGATGGGTTTTGGCTATTGAAGATACAGCTAGCAGATGGATTGAACTGTTTCCACTACAAAAAGCAACTGCCGAAGCATGTGCCAAGTGTCTCATAAATGAGGTAATACTTCGCTATGGGACGCCCCGCAAGATCATCAGCGACAATGGGCCACAGTTTGTAGGAGAAGTGATGCAACAGGTCGCCTACTGCCGCGGCTTCACACAAAGTTTGACTCCTCTCTACTACCCCTCTAGAAATCTCGAAGAGCGAAGAAACAGGGATATAAAAACGCAACTAACCATCTTAGTTAAGGAGAAGCATAATATTATTATTATTATTAGAAAAAAATGGAGCAGAGGTCAGAGACCTATTATGCTCCTTCAAATAGATTTCCCTAAGTAGAGTTACTGATCCAATTTGTTCTTAAACATATTAACAGTTGTCACATTTACGATTTCACTATGCATTCATCAAACACCCTGTTAGGAAAGAAAACCTTCGAACAATAGTTCTAAATGACTGCTTTTTTAATTTGTAAACGTGCCCTCGCAATTGGTTAGTATTCAATTCAAAAAGGGTTTTGAGGTGGCACATATTTGGATTGTGAAAAATCTTGTAAACCAATATCAAGTCTCCCCTCTTCCGTCGTTGTGAATGTAATCGAAAAACTTTTGAAAGTGAAAACTTTATTTATTTTCTTTTTGAATCGAAAAACAGACTTAAAAATTGTTTCTTTCGTCACCATAGCGGCGATGACTTTTTACCGCAGCCCTGGTGATGCTACAGTACCCCCCTCCTAGTGAGAGGCGCGAACGAAAACTAAGATAACTCATTAACAATGTAATAACGAGACAAACAATATGTTGAAAATTAAGTATTTGTGATTACGGTTCGGAAACGGACAGGTGACCGAACCACACGTCCACAACGCGTTGTCGACGGTGACTTCACTGGTGCAGGATCTGGATGTGAAGTATTCTCTGGAGTGATGTCCGCTTACGTAGGATACTTGTTATCTGGTTCGATGTAGGCGACTTTGAGCCGATCTATAGAGACGGTACTTGGTTTACCATTGATAAGAAGCGTAAAGAACTTGTCCTTTTTATCTAACACTTTAAACGGACCATCGTATGGTGGTTCGAGAGGCCGTTTAACACGATCAACGCGCACAAAAACGAAATTTGCAGTTCCTAAGTATTTTGGCACGTAAAGGTCTTGTTCGCGGTTGTGAGTGGTTCTAGTGTGGGCCATCTTCTGCATAACATTTCTGATCTTATCGGCGAATGTTGAATCTGCAAATGGTTGTGAAGTCTGTATCAGTCGCGGGTCTGTGAGGTCGCCGGGCATTCTTAATGTTGTACCGTAAAGAAGTTCTGATGGTGTTGCTTCTATGTTTTCCTTCACTTCGTTTCGAAGTGCAAGTAACACAAGAGGGAGTGCTCGTACCCACTGAGCGTCATGACACTTTAGAGCTGTCTTAAGCCTCCTGTGAAATCTTTCTACAAGGCCATTGGACATAGGGTGAAAGGCGGTTGTTCGAATTCTGTTAACTCCAATTAAGTTGCGAAGCTCCGAGAAGAGGACTGATTCGAACTGTGTACCACGATCAGTTGTTATTTGTGAGGGCACTCCGTAGCGAGAAACCCAATGGTTGACAAGTGTTCTGGCACAAGTTTCAGCCGTTATGTTAGCGATGGGGATGGCTTCCGGCCATCTCGTGAAGCGAGCAATAGCTGTAAATAGGTACTCAAAACCTTCTGAATGTGGAAGTGGACCAACTATATCTACGTGGACATGCGAAAGTCTTGCGTCGGGATCCAAGAAAGTTCCAATCGGCGATTTGATGTGCCGATGTATTTTGTTTTTCTGACACTGAAGACAGGTTTTAACCCAATTCGATGTGTCTTTTCTCATACTTGGCCAGAAATAGTTTCTGGAAATTAATTTAATGGAGCATTTTGTGCCAGGATGTGCGATGTTATGCGTAGATTCAAAGATGCGACGACGGTGCGGAGGCGGAATATATAGACGATTTCTTCCTAGCGTCGTTTCGTACCAGAGATGCTGAGCTGACAAAGGATCTTGAATTTCTTGAAAGGTGAATTTGCCTTCTTGTTTCAAGCGTTGGAGATCGGGATCATCAGCTTGTGCTGTAGCTAGCATTGAAGAGTCTAGAGCTTTGCAAGAGATTGTAGCAATTCTCGAAAGCATGTCGGCAGGCACGTTATTGATACCATTGATATACTGAATGTCGGTAGAATATTGTGATATTAAATCAAGCTGTCGTGCTTGGCGAGGGCTGGATGTTTCTGTTTTTTTCTGAAACGCATATATCAAAGGTTTGTGGTCGCAGAAAATTGTAAAAATACGACCTTCCAGGAAATGTTGAAAGTGGAGAATTGTTTTGTAAATAGCAAGCAACTCTCTGTCGTATGTGCTGTAGCGTCTTTCTGTGCCGGTGAGTTTTTTCGAGAAGAAAGCAATGAGTTGTTGTTCGTTGTCCACGAGTTGTTGCAAAACACCGCCAAGAGCAGTATCGGAGGCATCGGTTGCAATGCTCAACTTACTGTGAGGTGCTGGATACGTTAAACGAGCCACGTTCAGCAAAGAAGATTTGCATTTGTCGAATGCTTCAACTACTTCTGGAGTACTGATAATTGGTCGGTCTTTACGAGTGCAGCCATTTAGTAAACAGTTCAATGGAGATTGTAACTCGGCAGCATTCGGGATTCAACGCCGGTAGTAGTTAATTGTTCCCAAAAATCTTTGTAGAGCCTTTGAAGTTTTCGGAAATTCCATGTCTTGTATAGCCTGAACTTTTTCTGCTAGAGGTTTGATGCCATCTGACGAAACTTGAACACCTAAGAATTTAAGAGTGTCGACGCCAAAAACACATTTCTTTGGGTTAATGACTAGATCGTGTTGACTAAGTCGTCTTAAGACCATCTCTAGATGCTGGAGATGTTCTCCAGGAGTCGAGGATGCTATTAGTATGTCGTCTAAGTAGGCATAAGTAAAGTCTAAACCGTGCAAGACTTGATCTATGAAGCGTTGAAAAGATTGTGCAGCATTCCTCAGGCCAAATGGTATTCGCAGAAATTCGAAGAGACCAAATGGTGTAATTACAGCTGTTTTAGGTCGATCTGCCGCTGCAACTGGTATCTGGTGATAAGCTCTAACAAGATCAAGAGATGAAAAAACTTTCTTGCCGTAGAGGCAATGACTGAAATCCTGAATATGTGGAATAGGATACTTATCCGGTATCGTTACCGCGTTCAATGATCGAAAGTCTCCACATGGCCTCCAACTGTTATCTTGTTTAGGCACAAGGTGTAGAGGACTTGCCTACGGGGATGACGACGGTTGTATTATTCCCAGTTTTAGCATCTCGTCAAATTCTTTTTTAGCGATTTTCAGCTTCTCAGGAGAAAGTCTTCGAGCTCTGTGAGAAACTGGCGGGCCTTTCGTCTGAATATGATGAAGAACAGTATGCTTCGGCTCTCGAAAAATGTTGAGGGGGCGGATAACTTCGGGAAATTTACGCAGGAGGTCCTGATATACTTTTTCGGTGTTCTGGAACAGCGCATGTATACCAATTTCGTTGGACTCCTTTGCGGAACATGATACTGAAACTGAAGTTAATGTGTCTATAAGCTTTCCCCAGTAGCAAGCAATATTTTTCTAATATTTATATAAGATTGATATAATATTAAATGTTGATTAGATATTACAAATATTTATATAATATTCATTTTATATTTATAAATTTATATATGAATTTCAACATATATTACATATTTATGAAATGTCTTTTTATCAAGATACCGAACAACAAAAATGAAAAAAAAGTACCATGTTGGGACAACTTGTAGGTAATTTATGTCATAGGGTTTTTATCGGAGCAATATTAAAAATTGATTTGAAAAAATACCAGCTATTGTGAAATTGACACTATTCGAAATATCGTGTTGCACACTATTAATTGCTCATTAAAAAGTAATATTTTTTTTATTTTTGCGAACAAAAAATAATAATTTTATTCATCATTTTTGTAAAACTTACTTAAATTTGCGCTTGCTCTGCTGGAACGCGTTTGCGCAATGTGCAACATATACATATTTTCTGTTGTTGTTGGTGGTTCAAAAAGTATTTTCTGTAAGTTCATGGTGTTTGTTCTATTGTGAATTGTGATTATCGGTACTGCGATAAATTCAGAATAGTGTAGTAAATACCGTTTTGTCAAGAAAACAGTACTAATTCTACATAACCTCACTTCTACAAGCAATGCAGAAAATGCAATTTCTCAACACGTAAGTATATTTAAGAGGTTTAATATTCCTGAATATAAGCACATTATGAATGTAGAAACAAAATGATGAATGTCCGGGCGCAACCAAAAAAAAGAAGAAATCCAGTTAGAAATTGCGGGAGATACGCAGAAATTGAATGAATTGGTAAGCATTTATTATTCTTATTATTAACTCCTAGTATTTATAAACTAGTTAGTTTCAGACTGATAATAATGTTTATTTTCCAGGAAGAGAAGATGTAAAAAAACATGTAGGTACCTATGCAATTTTGAAGAAATCATTAATAATGAACCAAATTGCTTTCAAGTTTTCAGGGCAAGGAAAAAATAAGCTCTCTTTTAGTGAACTCACAATTAACAAGGCTACAATATGTAAAGTTATGTGATTTCTTAAAAATTACGAAATTTGTAAGTTAATTTAATTGTAGGTACCACACGGAAACGTCACAAAAACGCCACAACTGCTGAAATTTAAAAAATGGTAGGACCTCATTAAGCGCAGACAAAAGCAAGAGTGAATTCTCATCGAAAAAAACATGAGGTATGATTTTTTTCGGTTATAGAGCAAATAATTATTAAATAAATATTTCTGTATAACGATTGAAATGTAGCAGAACATTGTTATTTCCATTGACAATGTATTTTTATTTCATTGTAAGTTGGCAGTGTATTTTTATGTTTAAAAAATTTATATTGTGTTTCACATCAGGTGATTTTTTAAATTTCTGCCCATGAAGCTTATGCCAGCAGTTTCAGTTTCACTGCTGACATAAGCAGTGAAACTGAAAAAAAAGCAGAAATTAAAAAAAAATCACCCGGTACAAATTTTCAACGAATTGGTTCTAGGACAAATAATTTTTAAATGTATAAATATTGCCGCAACTTTTCAAATACACTGTTATTTCCAGTGACAATGTATTTTTGTATTTAATAAATATTATATTGTATTCCATACAAGTTTTTTTTATATCCATACCCCCTTTCATATGAAGAACATTTATTAAATGTTCTGAACTAAATAAGTATTAAACATTGAAAATAAATATATATTCAATATTTAAAACCAATATTGATTTTTTAAAAAAAAATCTGTCGTTACCCATATTATTTAAATGTTAGAACTTCAATATTGATTACATATAAAATGTTACTGGGGTTTTGCCACTAACGTCAACTAAGAGTTTATAATGTCCAAGAAAATCAGCGCCTAAAATAGCGTTTGTAATTTTGGCTACTAGGAAGGTCCACCGAAAACTACGCCTTAAACCTAAATTCACATTGATTGTCTTTTCACCAAAAAGTTTAATGTTTGAACCACTAGCTGTTTGTAAGGCGAATCGCGGAAAATATGTACAATGTTTATCGCGATAGCGTTCGGGTAAAATGGAAAAGTCTGCTCCAGTGTCTATTAGGTATGGCATCTTGGAGGTTTTGTCGCTTATGTACAACCGATCGGCGGCGTTCTCAACGGCAGAAATTACCCTAATTCCTGCCGGGAATCGGCGTTTTTTGAAAACTGACAACCTAGGCCGTGACATTTTCGAGCCTTGTCACCGAATTTGACATGATACCAACAAACATTGACGTTTTGGTCTCCTTTGGTGATTGACCGACTAGCACTACGCGTTCGTTTGTAGTTGTTATACTTGCGGTTCTCATGACGGCGTCTGCTGTAATCGCTGGTAAGTTCTCGTTGCAACCGAATTAGCTCGTCCATTTTCTTAACCAAGATGCTCAATGGACTGTTCGCATCGTTTGTAGGTGCATCGTCTCCACGAGCAGTGATTGTTGAAACAGCTGTCATCGGCGCTGCTTCCAAAATTTTGTCAGCTACTTCCGCGAGCTTGCCTAAATTAATGTCACCAAGCGATATTAGGACTGGTTTAATATTTTGTGGCATTTGTTGCATAAAAAGCTCCCGTAATACTTGTTCGTTCACGGATTTGTTTGAACCTTCTCCCACGAGGGTTATCATTTGACGATACAGTTGTGACGGCTTTTTAGAACCAAGCTCCAGTCCTGACAATAGTTGTTGCACTTTTTGAGCCTCTGACAACGTGAGACGTGCAAGTATGGCTTGTCTTAATTTACTGTACGGCTGCTGCTCCTCCGGCTTCAGGGCTGTAATTATGTCTGCTACCTCGCTAGCGATTTCGGGAGGAAGAGCACCAAGAGTATGGTTATATTTTGTCTTCTCAGCGGTGACGTTTACCAAATCAAATTTTTCCTCGATAATGGCGAACCATAATTCCGGTTTGTGGTTCCAGAATGGAGGTAGTTATCCCACTGCGGCGTTTACCTGCTGGCTCTCGGCAGTTTCAGACGATTGGGAAAGTTCGATTGGAGAAGTAATTTCTTCTATTTGATATTGCAAATCTTGCTTTCAAAATACTTATATCACGTCGGGGTCACCAATGTGGTTGAAGGACTGTGAATGTAATCGAAAAACTTTTGAAAGTGAAAACTTTATTTATTTTCTTTTTGAATCGAAAAACAGACTTAAAAATTGTTTCTTTCGTCACCATAGCGGCGATGACTTTTTACCGCAGCCCTGTTGATGCTACAGATATAAGATTTAGACATCTTAATCGGGTTTGATCATTTTGTGTTCTATAGCCCAATACCTTTTTTGTAGCCCTTCTTTGAATTTTTTCCAGCAATTCCTTATCCCGCTGTAAAATTGGTGACCACACAGTATTGGTATATTCCGAAATTGGCCGTATATACGACTTAAACAATTTCAGAAATGTATCTCGTGAAGGGTGTCTAGATACATTGAATAACATATAGGATGAGAATTTGCTCTTCGTGCAACGTAAGCCACTTGATTGGACCAAGATAAATCAGATGTTATTATAACACTTAAATAATTTTGACTATCCACGATCTTTACTACCTCATTATCTATCATGTAAATGTGTTTAGGGTTGTTGGTACCCAAGTGCAATACTTTACACTTGCCGTTATTCAACGGAATCAACCAGTTTAAGCACCAGCGGTAGACAGTATTTAAATCCGTTTGCAGTTCTCGATAATTTAGAATAGGATTAGCATACAGTTTACAGTCACCAGCATAGAAAGCATGATTTGACGAAAAATAAATGAGGTAAGTCCGATATGTAGATAATGAAAAGCAGTGGTCCCAATACAGAACCCTGCGGGACACCAGACACAACCACCCGTTCAGAGGATACCGAATCGCCCACTCTGACGTAAAACTTAGGACCATGAAGAAATGATCTGATCCATTTCAATAATGGGCCTCGAATCCCAAAATTATCTAATTTAGTATATGTGGAGTGTTTCGTTACCGCCGGTAAGGTTAGCAATGAATGGTGCCATGCACGGTTTTCAACCGGAAAAACGCCCGCTTTTCTGTGCTTCGGTCGGGAAATGAGGACACCTTTTGATGTGCATACTGACATTCGTGCGGTCGTGAACAACGAAAATTTCGTCGCGAAAATAACGCCGTACCTAAAGGTGATCGCGGAGACATTAAAAGATTCGCGCGAAAGGTCCGAGCATCAACAAGATCGAGCGAAGAAGTCCGCGGACCAACGACGCAGGCCTACGCCCACCTTCGACATAGGTGACAAGGTTCTCGTGGATGTACACGCTCTCAGTAGTCAAGAGCGCGGTTTTTCAAGCAAATTCACCCCTCGACGGGACGGTCCATACATCGTGATCGAGAAGAAGTCTCCAGTGACTTACGTTGTTGCTTGTCGAGAAGAGCCAGACAAGCCAATGGGCAAATACCATGTGTCTGCCTTGAGGGCATTCACCCATGACGACGGCGATGACGAGGTGCAACCAGTGGTGCCTTTTCGACGACGTGGTCGTCCCAAGAAGGCGCCCGCTCCCGAGGTCGTACCCGATCCGGAAGATGACACGGCTGAACCAGATGTTACGCAAGTCCAGCCTTCTGGTCAACGTCTTCGAAAACGACCAACATGCTCTTGCTGTACATAAAGCCATATTTACTTTCTAGTTTTCAGATATTAGATTCCACCTGTGGGCAGTCCATGTAATCTAAAGCGGGAGTGTAACGCGAGCGCTCACTAGATGCCGCTACGGGAGTGGAGGCAACCCTAAGCAACCCTCACGGACGAACTACTCGCTCTCTCCCCGTTCGGTCGCGGCTAAATACAGTCGAACTAGTTTATAGTTAGAATAGTATACTTTTGTAAATATTATGATGCCATTATTAAGTATACTTGTTTTCCCGAAATTGCGTATTATTCAAATAGAGTGGCTGCGGAATTAAGTGGTCGTTACAGAGTGATATACTGACTGAGATTTTGGAGTGATAAAATATTTAATTCGACTTTCTGTAAACTGGATTTCAGGGTCAGTTATTCTCTCATGTATCGTAATATAGAGGTGTTCCAAAAATAGGTACATAAATTTTAACCAGTGATAGATCTCTAATCAAGTTTTTCATTTGTTATTTTCTTGAGAAACACACTTGAACCAATAAACTGCGTTTGAAAATTTGTGTTGACATGTCAGTAGTTTGTTAAAGAAAAGTCGACGCAGTGAGCTGAAATTTCTACAGTGCATTACATTGTTAAAATATGAAAATTGGACAGATTAACACTCTTGAACATAAAATATCAAATTACGTCACACATAAGTACTCCTCTTATAGTAATCGATCAATTACAAACGGGTGTCCTTTAAAGTAAATCCATCATTACCCAGAAGAGTGGGTAATTACCAGTAGGTAATATATATTGTCATGAAGACAAATATTTTATAATTCTTAGTTTGCGAATTCATGACGCCTCACTTCCTCTTGAATCATGCGATGGTGCTATTTGGAGACGGAGGAGCATTATCGTGCTAGAACGGAAATGTGATTGAACTAAGACAGTGACATTCGATAATTTCATCGAAAATTACCCGAAATTGGGGGTTTGTTGAAAAAGTATAGTACGCAACTCGAGGGTTAAGAGCCTCGTGCTTGAAATTTTTTCTCTCTTGCGTAATTGCCTTTTTAACCCTCTCGTTACGTAATATACTATTCTTCTCTTCTTGGTGCTAGTAAGAGAATTACAAAATACTTTCATTAATTTCAAATTTCAATTCAAATATACTGAATTTAAAAAAAAAAACTGCGGAGATGGAGGGAATTTTGAATTTTTTACTTGCTGAATCGTCGAGTTTATTATCTGATGTAATGATTCCGTTTCTGTCTTTTTAAAAGATCTGGAGAGACATGCACCCTCAATTTACTGGCTATCCGGGTGAAAGTAAGGTTATGCAGTTTTTTTTTAGTTTCAGATGGCAGATCACAAAGAAAATGTTGCCAAATTTTTTGAAGAAGCAGAACAATCTTTAAAATTAAAAATACCTGAAGATTTAAAGAAGTTACTTGTAATAAATGGTTATCACGATGTATCTTTAATTGCCAAAATTACGGAAGAAGACATTGCAGAAATTGAAAATTTCTCTAAAAACACATTACCCACTCTTATAGATAAAAACGATTTTGAAAGTTATTATGGAATATTTGCCCGCAATGTCCAGTCGTTTAAAATT